GGAACCCCCAAATGAGGGGCGCTCCCGGGGACCCCCAAGACAGACGAGGGGTGCCCCTGGGAACCCCCAAGACAAGGGGCGCCCCTGGGGACCCCCATAATGAGGGGCGCCCCTGGGGACCCCTAAAACAGACAAGGGGGGACCCCAAAGACGGACAGGAGGCGCCCCCAGGAACACCCATCACGAGGGACGCCCCTGGGGACCCCCAAGATGGACAAGGGGAGCCCCCTGGGAACCCCAAGACAAGGAGGGGTGCCCCCAGAACCCCCAGGACGGACAAGGGGCGCCCCTGTGGACCCCCAAGAAAAACCAGGGGCGCCCCTGAGAACCCCCATAACGGGAGGAGCCCCCGGGGACCCCCAAGGCAGACGAGGGGAGCCCCGGGGAACCCCCAGGACAAGGGGCGCCCCTGGGGACCCACATAATGAGGGGCGCCCCTGGGAACCCCAAAGACGGACAAGGGGCGCCCCCAGGAACACCCATAACAAGGGACGCCCCCGGGGACCCCCAATATGGACAAGGGGAGCCCCCTGGGAACCCCAAGACAGACAAGGGGCGCCCCTGTGGACCCCCAAGACAAACCAGGAGCGCCTCCGGGAACCCCTATAACGAGAGGAGCCCCCGGGGACCCCCAAGACAGATGAGGGGCGCCCCCGGGAATCCCCATAACGAGGGGAGCCCCCGGGGACCCCCAAGACAGACAAGGGGCGCCCCCGGGAATCCCCATAACGAGGGGCGTCCCCAGGGACCCCCAAGACAGACGAGGGGCGCCCCTGGGGACCCCCAAAACAGACAAGGGGCGCCCCTGGGAATCCCCATAACGAGGGGCGCCCCCGGGGACCCCAAGACGAGGGCGGAGAAGCGCAGGGGCCCCCGGGCAGCGCGGGGACAACGGGGCGACCCTCCCGGGCCCCTCGTCGCCCCACCGGCCTGCGACCGCGCTCCGCCCGCCGGCCCGGGCCCTATGCAAATGAGGGATCGCAGTTCCGCCAATCACAGGGCAGCTCGCGCCCCTGCCCGCCAATGGGAGCGCGCGGCCCGGTTTCCGGCCGGGGGCGTGGCCGGGCCGGGCTGCGTGAGCTCTGGTGGCTTTTGTGAGTTTGCAAAACCCCGAGACCGCGATTCGGTGGCTTTTATGAGTTTGCAAAATCCTGGGATTGCAGCTTTGGTGGCTTTTGTGAGTTTGCAAAATCCTGGGATTGCAGCTTTGGTGGCTTTTGTGAGTTTGCAAAATCCTGGGATTGCAGCTCTGGTGGCTTTTATGAATTTGCAACTCTTGAGACTGCGCTTTGGTGGCTTTTATGAGTTTGCAAAACCCTGAGACTGCGATTTGATGGCTTTTATGAATTTGCAACTATTGAGACTGTGCTCTGGTGGCTTTTATGAATTTGCAAAAGTCTGAGACTGGCCTTTGGTGGCTTTTATGAATTTGCAACTATTGAGACTGTGCTCTGGTGGCTTTTATGAATTTGCAAAAGTCTGAGACTGGCCTTTGGTGGCTTTTATGAGTTTGCAAACCCCTGAGCTGCGATTTGGTGGCTTTTATGAATTTGCAAAACCCTGATGAATTTGCAGAACCCTGAGACTGGGCTCTGGTGGCTTTTATGAATTTGCAAAAGTCTGAGACTGGCCTTTGGTGGCTTTTGTGAGTTTGCAACTATTGAGACTGGGCTCTGGTGGCTTTTATGAATTTGTACAACCCTGAGACTGCAGCTTTGGTGGCTTTTTTGAATTTGCAAAACCCTGAGACTGCGATTTGGTGGCTTTTGTGAGTTTGCAAAACCCTGAGATTGCAGCTCTGGTGGCTTTTATGAATTTGCAAAACCCTGATGAATTTGCAGAACCCTGAGACTGCCCTTTGGTGGCTTTTATGAATTTGCAAAATCCTGAGACTGCGATTTGGTGGCTTTTGTGAATTTGCAACTATTGAGACTGGGCTCTGGTGGCTTTTATGAATTTGTACAACCCTGAGACTGCAGCTTTGGTGGCTTTTTTGAAGTTGCAAAACCCTGAGACTGCGATTTGGTGGCTTTTATGAGTTTGCACAACCCTGAGCTGCGATTTGGTGGCTTTTATCAATTTGCAAAACCCTGAGACTGAGCTCTGGTGGCTTTTATGAATTTGCAACTCTTGAGACTGCGCTTTGGTGCCTTTTATGAATTTGCAAATCCCTGAGACTGCCCTTTGGTGGCTTTTATGAATTTGCAAAAGTTTGAGATTGCAGCTTTGGTGGCTTTTGTGAATTTGCAAAATCCTGAGACTGCCCTTTGGTGGCTTTTATGAGTTTGCAAAATCCTGAGACTGCAGCTTTGGTGGCTTTTATCAATTTGCAAAACCCTGAGACTGAGCTCTGGTGGCTTTTATGAATTTGCAACTCTTGAGACTGGGCTCTGGTGGCTTTTATGAATTTGCAAAAGTCTGAGACTGGCCTTTGGTGGCTTTCATGAGTTTGCAAAAGTCTGAGACTGGCCTTTGGTGGCTTTCATGAGTTTGCAAAATCCTGAGACTGAGCTCTGGTGGCTTTTATGAATTTGCAACTCTTGAGACTGGGCTCTGGTGGCTTTTATGAATTTGCAAAAGTCTGAGACTGGCCTTTGGTGGCTTTCATGAGTTTGCAAAAGTCTGAGACTGGCCTTTGGTGGCTTTCATGAGTTTGCAAAACCCCTACTGGGCTCTGGTGGCTTTTATGAGTTTGCAAAAGTCTGAGACTGGCCTTTGGTGGCTTTCATGAGTTTGCAAAACCCCTACTGGGCTCTGGTGGCTTTTATGAGTTTGCACAACCCTGAGCTGCGATTTGGTGGCTTTTATCAATTTGCAAAAGTCTCAGACTGAAATTTGGTGGCTTTTATGAATTTGCAACTCTTGAGACTGGGCTTTGGTGGCTTTTATGAGTTTGCAAAATCCTGAGACTGCAATTTGGTGGCTTTTATGAATTTGCAAAACCCTGATGAATTTGCAGAACCCTGAGACTGCCCTTTGGTGGCTTTTAAGAATTTGCAAAAGTCTGAGACCGCAGCTTTGGTGGCTTTTGTGAATTTGCAAAACCCTGAGACTGGGCTTTGGTGGCTTTTATGAATTTGCAAAAGTTTGAGATTGCAGCTTTGGTCTGAGACTGGCCTTTGATGGCTTTTATGAGTTTGCAAAATCCTGAGATTGCAGCTTTGGTGGCTTTTATGAATTTGCAACTGTTGAGACTGCGCTCTGGTGGCTTTTATGAATTTGCAAAAGTCTGAGACTGACCTCTGGTGGCTTTTATGAATTTGCACAACCCTGAGCTGCGATTTGGTGGCTTTTATCAATTTGCAAAACTCTGGGACTGCAGCTCTGGTGGCTTTTATGATTTTGCAAACCCCTGAGATTGCAGCTCTGGTGGCTTTTATGAGTTTGCACAACCCTGTGACTGAGCTTTGGTGGCTTTTATGAATTCGCAAAATCCTGAGACTGGCCTTTGATGGCTTTTATGAGTTTGCAAAACCCTGTGACTGAGCTTCGGTGGCTTTTATGAATTTGCACAACCCCCGAGGACGCAGCTAGGAGTGAGAGCGGACGCAACACAAAGGCCATTGCATTTTTATTGTTCCTTAAATTAAGAAGCAAATGGGACGGTGAACATTCTAGTAGGTGACCTGTTTATAAAAAAAAAAAAAAAAAAAAAAAGGTCATATCCTAAACGACAGAGCCGTGGTGCAGGATGCAAGTGACAGAAACCCAAGTCAGACTGGCTTTATGCAAAAAATAAAAATAAAAATAAAAATTTAAAAAAAGCAGCGAGCAAAATCGAGAAAGGGGCTTCAGGCACGGCTGGATCCAGCAGCTCCATGAATGCCATCCAGCCTCTGCACGTTTTTTTCTGGCTCCAGTTTTCTCTGTCGTGGTTCCTTGTTGAAGTGGGGTCCCCCCCACCTCCCTGAGTGTCGACAAACATGGTGACAGGCGACTGTGACCGGGCCGCCGTTCAGCGATCCCAGGGGGGACAGAGCCATAAATAGTTCTAGAAAAAGTCCCTGGGATTGACTCGTGTCAGGCACGCTGAGTTCAAGAACCCATTTCTGGTTTTCTTTTTTGGGGGGCTGAGTCTCGCTCTGTCGCCCGGGCTGGAGTCTCTCGATTAATAACAGCAGCCTCCAACTCCTGGCCTCGAGCGAGACTCCCGCCTCGGCCTCCCTCCAGAGTAGCTGGGACGACAGGCATGCGCCACCACGCCCGGCTCATTTTTTTTTTCCTATATATTTTTACTTGTCCAGCTAATTTCTTTCTATTTTTTTTAGTCTCGCTCTTGCTCGGGCTGGCCTCCAACTCCTGGCCTCCATAGCGATCCTCCCTCCTCGGCCTCCCAGAGTGCTGGGATGACAGGCCTGAGCCTCCACGCCTGGAAAAAATAACCCATTTCGGACCCAATCACTGTTGCCAAGTGAC